GCATAATCAGAGAGAACAGTTAAATAAATTGAATAGCGAACTGAAATGGTTTAGCGGGAAAATATAAATGTTTGGTACATGTAGCAGAGTTAGGGTAATCAATTAAATAATAATTGTATACTCGAGGAATTTTGAGTGGTTTTATAGATTAGTTAGGAGGAATTAGAATGATACAAACAATTATTGATGGGTTAAGACTGGGGATAACCAGGAGAAAGAGATTAGCTCATCTCGTTGGAATGTTGCCAAGGGCTAGGGGAGCAGTAGTGAAGTTAGGCCGTATTTAGGTCATAAAAGTGAGCTACCAAATTAGGGCCTGGCTATTTGTGGTTGTTTTTCAAATTGGGTTTTCAAATAAAAAACAACACACCTAGTATGATGTTTATAAAGCCTTGTTTCAATTTTGGGGGGTTTTCAGCAGGTCAAGGGTTATAGGTCTTAAAGGTGCACACAGTGAATTTTATAGATTTTTTTAGGTTTTGGCTGAGTTTGGGGTATATATGATTTCTTATGAGAATGAATGTCATGAGGACTTAATGAACACTTGGGATAACTAACATTTATGAAATATTTAGAATAATGGTAATTGTTTAGTATACTATGGGATTAAACAGTTCGTTAAATGATTTCAATGGCCTCTGAACTCTGTTTTAACATTCTGGTGTTAATTAATCATCCACACTAGTACATTCTAAAGGCATGAGAGGAAGATTTTAGCATAGTTTATTTTACTAAGTTGAGGGTAATTTATAGTACTGTGAAAATTGTGAAGAAGATTATAATTTGGTAATAATATATTTGATTTGAACCATAAATAACAGAAGAGAGAGTGGAGGAATGGCAATTGGATAATGAAATACCGATATTAACTAAAGTGATTGTTTAGGTAGGTGGTAATATTGACACATGGCCAAATCATGTGTCAAAGAGGGGGATGGTTGGATTAAATATTAAATATATACGAAGGAGAGGACAAAATACTTTAAAAAAACATGTATGATAGTTTATTAACCACACCTGTATGTCAGAGGTTTTGTGCCCCACAGGTGAACTAAAGGAGAAGGTGACCCACTCTATCTAACCAGGAGACTGAATCAGGCCTGGCGGGAAGGGCCCTACCAAGCACTGCCTTTGCCAGCAGAAAAGCTGAGAGATCCATCTGGGTGCATGTCACACACTGTACAAAACCAGCTACACCTGACGAACAAACACAGAGTTAGGAGAAAGATCCGATCACCACTATGGTCCGGGGGTTGCCTCCTTAACGAAGATTCCCTTACCCTGTCTGATCATCCCTGTGTGAGTTCGATAGAAGGTAAAGCAATGGGTTGGCCTCTGGCATCTGACATGTTCTCAGGGCAAGGGTGGGGATTCACAGGTCTCCCGATGGTAGGTAGCTGTCTGATTGTGGGGGCCATATTCCTAACACACACGGACCCTCCTGTTTCAGCCAGAAGTGGTAGTTAACCTAACACAAGTTGAAAAAGCATAGGAGACAGCTAGACGTAGGGAGAGGGGAAATTCTAGAGTAAACCTCTCTGAGGGAGGTAGTGAGACCGGGGCTGTGATAAAGATAGTGCAAAACTATAGACCTGGAGGAAGTAGTACAGGTGGAAACGGGGTATAGAAATCTTAACCTGTGGTTGGAATGGATTCAGTATACGGCAACAACTATGTCTAAAGAAGACTGTTTTGCCTGTGGGACAGCCAAACCAGGGTTAACAACTACTCCGTTCCCCTTGACAGGCTTTAACTCTCTGTCAGGTTTTTCCTCCATGCAAGCCACCTGGGAATGTGGTGAAAGAGTCTTATGGTAACTTGCACTATCTGTTTCCCCCGATAACAAAGTCATCCCGACCTGGGTTGCCTCAGTTTGAAGTCACAGGGGATTCTAAATTGTTTTTCTAGTCTAATCTCTCCTCTTTGTTGCAGCAAGAGGATTATAGGAGCCAAAACCAGGCCCGTGCTGACATCTGATGGATGTGTGGTGATAACTGATTGTGAACTCACCTACATACGCAAACAATCAAACGTGTCAGAGATTGGTGAGTTGTCACATAGAAAGTAGGACCTCCTCCCGGGAGCCTTTGATGAAAGGATATATATTGATGGGATCCACAATTAGATCGCAGCTGAGTTTGAATCAAGTATTTTCTGATGGTCAACAATTAATAAAAATGTAGATTGGATAAATTATATTTAATATAACCAGCAAAATATTTATAAACTACACTCGTGATGCAATAAAGGGATTAGCTGAGCAGACAGCGGCAACTAGCTTAATGACATGGCAGAATAGAATAGCTTTAGATATGCTTTTGGCTGAGCGGGACGGGGTTTGTGTTCTGTTTGGATATATGTGTTGTACTTTCATCTCCAACAATATAGCACCGGACGGGCCTGTGACCAAAGCGCTTGAGTGACCATCACCACGCTGGCGAACGAACTGGTTAAGAACTCTGGTATTGATAGCTCCATAAACGATTGGTTTGATAACATATTTGGTAAATGGAAAACTATTGTTGTGACTATTCTGGGTGAAGTTATGGCCTCTATGGGTATACTTGTTCTTTGTGGATGTTGCCTTATTTCCTGGCTGAGTGACTGGTTTGGTGAGTACTCTTCTATGGTGGTTACTGGATTTCTGACCCTAGTAATTGTGTTTTTGCTGTTAATGTGTTGTGCTGCTTGCATCGTCCCTTGTCTCAGGAGGTCAGTGGTAGGAGTGGTGCAGGCGTCAGGTATGATGCTGTTGTTACCGGCCCAGGATGATGCAGGTGACTCTGCTGCTGACTCTGAGACCAAGCTGGATGATCCATGTTTTGCCTAGTAAAATACATACACGCATTTATTTTCAGTTCTTGCTCATTTATTACCTTATGTTTTTACTAACCACTGTGATTGTTTATTCTTCCTGATGTGAAGGTAAAGGATTCCTGGGTGGCTGGTAGCCAACTCAGTACATGTTAGGTGTAGGGGAGGAATAGAGGGTTAAAATTATTATTTTTATTTTCTATTAACATTAAATGTTGTGATTTAATTTCCATATCCTGTTATTCTTAAGGGTGATTATACTCTGTTTAGAGTGACACCATAAAATTGTTGGGTTTTATTTTTTGGATCTGTATGTGATGAATAGCTTGGAAGGAATGCATTAATGAGGAGCACTGTACTGATATGGATTGTTTCACATAACAGGCCGATAAGAACACTCTCTCTTTGTTGTCTGTGAAACTGCCCTTGAACATGGGTACATGGAGTACAGTTTTTGGGGGCTCGTCCTTTTGGGTGCTGACTGTTGTACTATTAATAAAAACGTTGATAGAATTAACTGCATACATTAATGTTAAAAATTAGGCAATTGGACACAACAAGGTTTTGAGGCGGTGCATGGCCAGTTGGCTGCAACCTCTCTCATGGCTTTCCAAAATCGTATTGCTGTCGACATGCTCCTGGCTGAAAAAGGAGGAGTATGTGCTATGTTTGGTGAACAATGTTGTACCTTTATTCCCAACAATACAGCCACAGATGGCAGTTTGATAATTGCCCTGGAAGGGTTACAAACTCTTAATGGTAAGATGAAGAGCCACTCAGGGGTGGACACTTCAATGTGGGACTCTTGGATGGATGGGTTTGGTAAATATAAAACGCTTGTTTCTTCTATACTTGTATCCATCTTAATTTTGCTGCAGTTCTAGTGCTTTGTGGATGCTGTTGCATTCCATGCATACGGACGCTGACAACCAGGATTATAACCACCGCTATTGATCCACATCCTGCAGATAACGGTCAGATGTTTCCTTTGCTTGCTATTGACGATGCTGACCAAGGATATCTGGATGATGAATAGCATTTAAGCTTTTTGTCACGTCTCTTGTGAGACGTGAAGAGGGGGAATCAAAACGTTATCTTCTGATAAAGTTTTCCCTATTTTGCCAATTACACTGTTAGCTTGTGTCACGTCTTAAGTTTTCCTTCTTTACTGTTACTTGGTCACGTCTCTGGGGAGACGTGAAGAGAGGGATTTGTCGTAGTAAATATATTATGTTATAGCTTGGTCTGACTAAAATCTTGTGCATAACCCATCTTGTGTTGGGCCTTGGGATTTAATACAATGCACAAAGACTTCTATCTTGTCGGCCTTATCAGCAGGTGGCTATGGACAACACCCACGCCATAGGTCTCTCAGCTCTCCCAAACTCACGAGTTATTGCTCTGAGGACATACACACACACACCCCCCCACACACACACACATACACACACACACACACACACACACACACATCATCATCGTTAAACATACACACACATACACACACACACATACACACACATACACACACACACACACACACACATACACACACACATACACACACACACACATACACACACATACACACACATACACACACATCATCATTGTTAAGCACACACACACAAAAAAACCCTTCTCTTAGGAACATCTGAAGACAGAGAACCCGACTCAGAGCCAATGCAATGGAGATGACCTCGACCAACTCATCAGGACCAATCGGAAGATCAGAACTACTAGAATCAACCTACTTTATTTTATTGTATAAAATGTCAGCACACAATGTTTTGGGCGCGCTCTCAGATATCTCCCTACGAGGTTGACGAACGGGTCCGTGCACGCTATTTTCAGATATCTTTACCTCTGAATAAACTGCCTTATATTATACAATCATCCACCTTGTCCGAAAGTCTCTACTTGGTCTCCGTTCTCCAGTAAACTTGTTTCATCAACAGTAGCCTACCCTACTAGTCTAGAATACGTGAGCATATTACCAAAGAGAATATATGTTTAAAATATACATGTTTTAAAAACTGTGATATTGCTGTGATGTCTATTTCATCAAAGACAGCATTCTCTTTGATTTCATCCTCTGGGTCCTGCCAGGGACTTACACTGCCAATGACTCTTCCAAGAAAACTCCCTCTCCCACAATTCTTCGCGCTTGTACAGTCACGACGACACATTCATGCGCCCAAGGTTCAACAGCAAACTCCCGAACTGAACGTTGATAGTCCTGCAAGTACTTATTGAAGTGTAGATTGATTTGTGTTGCAGTTAGGTCATTTATATCGTATAATGGTTCGACTTTAGTAACAGTTCATTAATACTGGGAAAGGTTGCGAAAAGTAGTGGCCAGACACCGCGTGCGTTTTCACAGCTGAAGTGGCTAGAAAGTCAACGTGAATAGAGGACAACATGGTGTATTCTTTCATACTGAAAGTTGTGCAGCGTAATTTGCATCAGTATCAAACACTGTCAACGCAATGCGTTCTGGGAATATGCAAACGCATGCAGAACAGTTTGCACCTTCAGAAACCGTCTACTACAACATCCAGGTTAATTTTCTATAGGACTGCAAATCGCTCACCTATTGTGAGTAATATAGTTTGTACACGGAGTCGAAGCATTTCTCTCGACACAAGGTTGAGAAGTAAAGGCGAAGAGAAGGATGGTGGTCAGGTGTCAGTACCGAGGCAAGGACCTTCTACTGCACATAAAGGTAAGCCTGTCGAACACATTAATGTATTGACATTCAATCGGAGCCCATAAAAGGACTTAATCAATGGATTTGCCTTGTCAATTACACTTTTTGCACAATAAGAATGAAAGAGACTAAACTGTTGAAAGTGTTGACATTGGCATAATGGCATCATCCTTTTCTCCAACTATCAAAGAGTTTAGAACTAAAAGGGTATACCATAATCAGAGTTCTCTCCCTCGCAACAGTGAAGGAAGCTGGCAAAGACTTCACCTACCTCATAGTTGTGCTGATTGGACTCGGTGTAACAGGTGATTTTCACTTCCAGAATATGATATTGAAACATGAATTGATGTAATCTGATTAAAATATAATTTTCCCCAACCTGTTGACACCTGTGTTTTGCTCTCAGGTGGGTTGTTGTATGTGGTGTTCCAGGAGTTGTTCTCCTCCTCCAGCCCCAACAAGGTCTACAGCAAAGCCTTCAACAAAACCAGGTTACACCCAGAGGTGAGATAACAAGCACAGAAACATAACATCAACAAGACAATCTACTCTTAGTCTACATCTCAGTTGAGTTCAGTTCATTTATGTATTTGCCTTTTGCAGGAATGTGTTTTGCGTACAAGAGCACTGAGTTAAGACATTAGCCATCTACATCTCATTAGTCTCACTGCCTCTTCTCCTTGTCTCTTTCCCTGCATCTGTACTTATCTGAAAACACAGGATTAATAAAAACAATGTGGTGTCAGGGGTCGCGTTAACGCAGGATTCTGCATTTTTCACACAGAAAGGGAAAGCTAAAACGCAGAAAAAAAATGTGTGCTTCAGTTGCACACTCAAATTGGATCACCAGACAGTGCTCTGACTGATGGATGTGTAGGCTACTTTTCCTCTGGTGTAGTTTTTCTATGGTATCAAGGTAAAATGCAAGATTAACTTCAAGCAAAACATTAGGAAAATGTAGTTATTTCTATGATAAACATTATAAATATGATGGCCATGCATCATTTTTGCTAAAAATACCTTGCTTTTTCATTGTAAGCTAATTGACTTGTGTGGCTGCTTGCCGGCAAATAGCGTTGCACACCTGTTGTCATCTGCTACAAAATGTGTTCCGCTAATGTATTTTGTTGGAAGAAAAACTATAGTTGCACTCCCCTGATCTATTGAAGCAAAAAAACACTTGACTTTCAATATAAAACACAGGTGAAATGGTTTAAAACACAGATTTTTGATGGTCTGCGTTTAGAAAATGCTGATTTCTGAAAGCTAATTCGACCCCTGGGTGTAAAGCTGATTGTTCTCTTCCTTCCTCTTTGTAAAACCACAGGTGATTGGAGTGTTCGGGGAGCCAATCAAGTGCTTCGGTGAGACGTCCCGCCGAGGTAGAAGACAGAAAATCAGGTGAGATCAACGTTTGTTTGTACCATGATGGTCTCTCTTTATACACTGTGATAAGAATACAAGATCACTGAATTAAACAGACTGTGTGATTTACGTCAGTGTGATTACTAGCAAGTTTACCATGTTCTTTCTCCCCACAGTCACGTTGAGTACATGAAGGATGGACTGAAGCACATGAGACTGAAGTTCTACATCGAGGGAGAAGAACCAGGCCGGCAGGGAACTGTGCACACAGAATCTAAAGAGGTTAGACATATTCCCTAGCCATATTCTTTTATGTGTAATTTATCTGCTTGATTGACCTAAACGGTATAGCATTTAGAGACATTATTTTATTGATATCAGAAACAAGATTCTCCATTAATTAAAGAAGAATTATTGGCATAATCGGCAGAGGCTCTTTATGTTGTGATATAAGGTGAAAGTGTTTTAACTCTTTCAACAGAACCCTGAAACTGGAAAGTTAGAGTTCCGCTACATCTTCGTGGAAGTAGACACCTACCCAAGGAGAACCATTGTCATTGAGGATAACAGATAAGATGGGGACTGATTATTTGAGCCAGTCTGAAGAGGTGCATCAGCTGTCTAGCATCACTCAGATGATACAGGCAATGCATCACTTTGTTGCTGAATAGATGGAATCAAGTTCGTATGTCTTGTTGTTTAGTATGAGTTTGTGTTAGACACACGTGAACGTAAATGTTGGGTGATTTAGAAAATGGGGTCAAACAATGATTGATGGTAAATGAAACAGATCACTACTGCCATTGCTGACTTTTCTGAGGACAATTTCCTTGTTTTTGAGATAAGTGAGGGTGGAGGATGATCTCTCTTTTACGTGGCTGTTCCCTTCTGAATGCCAATGACTGGTGTTTAAATTAGCTATGATTTGAAGCTATGCCGTTTTAATGCTCCATAGGATGAAAGGCTTCTCTAAAGAATGGTTTACTTTTGTTGTGAAATGATGGAAACGTAATGCTGTAAAAGAAAAGCATCTGATGCAGAGATGTTATTTGTGTGTTGACAGTGAAAATGTTGAATGTCTTTGTTCTGGTCATGAATCTACTACACTGATTTGAGATATGGATAAACATCAAAGATTTTGAGTTAACTAAGACACCTGTATTTTGAGAGCAAATAAATATAATTATGTTTTATGAGTATGTGGTCATACAAAAAAGGAATGTGACTTGATTAAACCCCCAATGATAAAGGATTCACTGGCCATGTGAAATTATACATATTCTGTCACACTGCAAATGTTCTATTCCACCCTGAACTTATTGGAATTACATTGTAGAATAAATATGTTGTTACACATGAGGTTGGTGGCACATTAGTTTGGGATAACGGGCTGGTGGTAATGGTTTCCATGTGTTTGATGCCATTCAATTCGCTCCGTTCCAGCCATTATTATGAGCCGTCCTCCCCGCTGCAGCCTCCAATGTTATGGACAGTATTGATATTTTTGTATCATTATGCCAATATTTGACAGAGTATATCATCCTCACTGTGCATGAGTGCATACAGACACAATAGTGTGCAACTGCAGCCCACAATTCAGGGCGTTCCCTCCTACCCACCTCAAGCATCCCATTGGTTCCTTCATGAACCCCTCCTCCCCCCGAGCATCCCATTGGTTCCTGCATGAACGCCTCCCTCGAGCACGACATCTTCATACTTATGTGACACTTTTGAATGTGGGTCAAAAGGGAAATTAAAGTATTATCAGAGTTTTTCAACCCTGCCTCCCGTGTACCAGAGTCGTCCTTGCTAGTTAGCGGGAGCGACACCGGTAGACCGTGTCCTTTGCCCTCACCATCATTAACAGAACTGCAAAAAAAAGTGGGCGAAGGACACTGTCTACCGGTGTACTAGCTAGCTAGCAACCGTTGTTGCCCCACCTCTTCTTCTTTATCAGCGGTTGGCATCCAATGTTATGGTACATTACCGCCACCTACTGTACTGGGGTGCCCCTGCCTACCAGAGTCCTATCACAGATAGAACAATAATACAGATATGTCAACGGCTGTATAAATATGAAGCATCCTCGTGGCGTTTCCACTCACTACTAAATATGGTAGTGAGAGGAAGCCCACTGGCCGGCAGAAGGAGAAGATGGAACAAGATGGATTTTGGCCAACATTTAGCACATTTTCTCATCAATTAAACATTTGATCTCAATACAGTTTTCTGTTCCCAAAACTATCATCTGTTATGAACAGAGTGGACAAAGTTTTGTAGACTGTACGCTTTGCAAAAGTTTTAAAAAATCGCATTGTTTAGAAGGAGTGCAAAGGCAAATTGAGTTATTGCACATGCGCACTTCACAAAGGAGGCGTTCCCTAACAGAAACATGCAGATGCATGCTAGAACGAGCCAATAGGATCTCGCTAACTCGTGCTTTGCTCTGCCCACTTCCTTGCTTGTTCTGCCCCCATGACAACAAAAAAATCCCCATTGGAAACGACAGGCTGTGGTCTATCTTGGTTTAGTTATAAAAAATATATGGTCCTGTCTTAAAAATAGACCAATAGAGGTATAAAGAGAGTTTCCTGCAGATGCAGGAATGCCCACATTTAGCATTTTATTAGGGATCCCCATTAGCAGCATCTACTCTTCCTAGGCTCCACATGCAAGAACGCCCGAATTGCGGGCTGCAATTGCAAAATTCTCAACTCATGAAATGCAAACTTGTTCAACTCATTTGCAAGTAGCCGCAACATTCTTAGTAAAACATTTTACTTGCAATGACTGATTGTTGTTGTTTAACTACCTTAGTTTGAGCAAGTAACTCTGGGTAAGCGTCAGGTCCGGAGTTACGGGTGGGTCGTAGGGGGTCCGGCTTGCCCTACCTTACCTACTTGCCCGTCCAAATAAAATATTGATAATTTATTTGACGCGCGTGGACAGAAAGACGCGTCAATCTCAGTTAAAGCATCCCAGCGAGCGAAACAGCATCCCTCTGTCTCAGTATGTGTAGACCATGTATCTGATGCTGTTTTATGGTGGGTGATTCAGGCCAGAATTAAGCATCGTGAAGCTACTGATACCTCTCACCAAGTAAGCTAACGTCTTCCTAGTGCCATAAAATACTGCCATGAATTAACATGGACTGTCAATGGAGAAAAGTGTTTTTCTAAGGCATCAAACTGCAGACGCATTAACGTCACGTTCATGTCACATGACACGTACACGTCATGTCAGTTTGCGTGTACGTTTATTATGAAAGATCTCACCATGAACGCCTTAAAAACGTCTACGTGTACATCATGCTTTCATATCGTGTACATGTGACAGCTACGCATCACGTGTTAGTTTAAGTGTCTGTTTGTGCCTCCTGTAGCTCAGTTGGTAGAGCATGGCGCTTGCAGCGCCAGGGTTGTGGGTTCGATTCCCACGGGGGGCCAGTATGAAAAATGTATGCACTCACTAACTGTAAGTCGCTCTGGATAAGAGCGTCTGCTAAATGACTCAAATGTAAAAATGTTTAGTTTATTATAAACCTCTACAGGATCGGTGTCCTGTATACAGGACGGTTGAGCTAACGTGCGCTAATGTGATTAGCATGACTGTTGTAAGTAACAGCAAACTTTCCAGGACATAGACATGTCTTATATGGGCAGAACGCTTAGATTCTTGTTAATCTAACTGCACTGTCCAATTTAAAGTAGCTATTACAGTGAAAAAATACCATGCTATTGTTTGAGGAGAGTGCACAACAACAAAAAACTGGTTTGATACATTCACCTCTGAAGGTAAATAATGTACTTACATTCAGTAATCTTGCTCTGATTTGTCATCCTTAGGGTACTAGAGATAAAATGTAGCATAGTTTGTTTGATAAAATCCATTTAAAATGTACAGTGAGAGAAAGTATTTGATCCCCTGCTGATTTTGAACGTTTGCCCACTGACAAAGACATGACCAGTCTATCATTTTAATGGTAGGTTTATTTGAACAGTGAGAGACAAAAAAATCCAGAAAAACGCATGTCAAAAATGTTATAAATTGATTTGCATTTTAATGAGGGAAATAAGTATTTGACCCCCTCTCAATCAGAAAGATTTCTGGCTCCCAGGTGTCTTTTATACAGGTAACGAGCTGAGATTAGGAGCACAATCTTAAAGGGAGTGCTCCTAATCTCAGTTTGTTACCTGTATAAAAGACACCTGTCCACAGAAGCAATCAATCAGATACTCTCTACCATGGCCAAGACCAAAGAGCTCTCCAAGGATGTCAGGGACAAGATTGTAGACCTACACAAGGCTGGAATGGGCTACAAGACCATCGCCAAGCAGCTTGGTGAGAAGGTGACAACTGTTGGTGCGATTATTCGCAAATGGAAGAAACACATAAGTACTGTCAAGCTCCCTCGGCATGGGGCTCCATGCAAGATCTCACCTCATGGAGTTGCAATGATCATGAGAACGGTGAGGAATCAGCCCAGAACTACACGGGAGGATCTTGTCAATGATCTCAAGGCAGCTGGGACCATAGTCACCAAGAAAACAATTGGTAACACACTACGCCGTGAAGGACTGAAATCCTGCAGCGCCCGCAAGGTCCCCCTGCTCAAGAAAGCACATATACAGGGCCGTCTGAAGTTTGCCAATGAACATCTGAATAATTCATAGGAGAACTGGGTGAAAGTGTTGTGGTCAGATGAGACCAAAATCGAGCTCTTTGGCATCAACTCAACTCGTTGTGTTTGGAGGAGGAGGAATACTGCCTATGACCCCAAGAACACCATCCCCACCGTCAAACATGGAGGTGGAAACATTATGCTTTGGGGGTGTTTTTCTGCTAAGGGGACAGGACAGCTTCACCGCATCAAAGGGATGATGGACGGGGCCATGTACCATCAAATCTTGGGTGAGAACCTCCTTCCCTTAGCCAGGGCATTGAAAATGGTTTGTGGATGGGTATTCCAGCATGACAATGACCCAAAACACACGGCCAAGGCAAGGAGTGGCTCAAGAAGAAGCACATTAAGGTCCTGGAGTGGCCTAGCCAATCTCCAGACCTTAATCCCATAGAAAATCTGTGGAGGGAGCTGAAGGTTCGAGTTGCCAAACGTCAACCTCGAAACCTTAATGACTTGGAGAAGATCTGCAAAGAGGAGTGGGACAAAATCCCTCCTGAGATGTGTGCAAACCTGGTGGCCAACTACAAGAAATGTCTGACCTCTGTGATTGCCAACAAGGGTTTTGCCACCAAGTACTAAGTCATGTTTTGCAGAGGGGTCAAATACTTATTTCCCTCATTAAAATGCAAATCAATTTATAACATTTTTGACATGCATTTTTCTGGATTTTTTTGTTGTTATTCTGTCTCTCACTGTTCAAATAAACCTACCATTAAAATTATAGACTGATCATGTCTTTGTCAGTGGTCAAATGTACAAAATCAGCAGGGGATCAAATACTTTTTTCCGTCACTGTAGGAACTGTGTTCTACAGTTTTAACCCCTGCTGTCTCTGGCTCCTCACCCACCTAGCCCGACCATCTAGATGTGTGAAAGTTAGTGTATGAGCTAATGATGCATCATGTATGACATTCCTGGGAGTGTATAAACTTACATTTTGTATTACCGTATCATTTTTGTATGTTCTCTATAGTTATTTACTTAAAAATGTATCAATTGACCAATTCGGCACATTTGGGCAGACTTGATACAAAATAGTCCGGTATTGCAACGCTTCACTGGGATCAATCTGAAACTTTGCACACACACTGCTTCCATCTAGTGGCCGAAATCTAAATTGCGCCTAAACTGCAATATTATATTTTACATTTTAGTCATTTAGCAGACGCTCTTATCCAGAGCGACTTACAGTTAGTGAGTGCATACATTTTCATACTGGCCCCCCATGGGAAACGAACCCACAACCCTGGAGTTGCAAGCGCCATGCTCTACCAACTGAGCTACAGGGGACTATGTTGTGGCCTTTCTTTTGCATTTTAAAGATGATAAAAAAGAAAAAGAAAGAAAACACATGTTTTTTTTGTTTGTATTATCTGTTACCAGATCTAATGTGTTATATTCTCCTACATTCATTTCACATTTCCACAAACCTCAAAGTGTTTCCTTTCAAATGGTATCAAGAATATGATTATCCTTGCCTCAGGTCCTGAGCTACAGGCAGTTAGATTTGGGTATGTCATTTTAGGCGAAAATGGGAAAAAAAGGGTCCGATCCTTAAGAGGTTAAAGATCTCACCATGAACGCCTTACAAACATCTACATGATGTCTACATGTACATGATTTTGTAAAAAAATAATGTCATTGCCAGAGTAATCTAATCAATTTAATTTGTTGATTTAGCTCAAATAGGCATATCACCTCAATACAAATATTATTAGGCTAGTTGATTTGCAGCCAG